TCAAAATATTCACCTCTCATCTAGTTTTTGGAACTATTGCATCTCAGGTTAAAAAACAATAAGTTTAAAGGTAAACTACCAACGACTCAAGTTGGTTGACACGATGATTTTTACCAATCATATTTATCCTAATAACAGCCAATCAAAACAAACTTCCGCTATGCTTTAAAACCTTAAAGAAGCTATTTAAATTAGATAGTCTAGCTCTTGAAAGTATTTGTGACTTATAAACTAATTAATAAATCCTAGTTTTAAAGAGAATACTTGTGTGATTTAATTTTTATACAGTAGTATAAAAAAGATTCTGACTATATAAAATTAGAATTTAACTAATTTTAACCCTTCCGAGGTGTTCGACCGAGCCTTGTGTCATGTGATCACACCTGGCTTTAGACGACCTCCAAATTTGACTTCTTAACGTAGCACGATAGTTACTACACTAAATTCGGCACCACAATTGTTGGACACGGTAAATCAAGCATATTTTCTATACAGTATTTGGGTCTAGATTATTAATAACTTCAGAACTTGTTGGGCGGGCATTTGGCTCGGGTACAGTAACAATTTGATAATATACTTTTAATCGTATATCGCCATATGTGGTGTTGTGTGACAAATAAATTTAAATTAAGCGTTATTGTTATTAGTTATGTAGTATATAGTACACATTCGAGAATATTCGAAGGGTAGGTAGGTTTGGCTACAAAAAGAATAGGCGTATATGTGGATTAATAGCGCATTATTTGGAGTTATGATTTTCAACTTTGGATAACGTGAATTTTATACGTAGAGTTCGTTCGGTCATTTAAGGTAATTAATTATCACATGATTGATCGAGTCGAGAGTCCAAAAGTACTGCTTTCTTACATAGTGTATTCGAAATCATAAAAAATAATACAGGATCTGAGTTCACGAAAATCACTTAACTTTTTTTCGCACTAGTAAATTCTGGTCTCAGAAAACGAATGACATTTCACAGTCAGATCCAAATATATATAAAACTTTTCGATGCTGTGATCTGCATCAAGAATTTTATTTATTATCACAAAGAGAGGGGGGTCCGGTGACCTCACCATTTTTTATTTTTATATGATTGTGTAAATTGGCAGAAATATTAGTTAGAATTGATCTTATAATTTGCGATTATTAATATTATTCCTTGGCAAAAGCGATCGGCGTTGCAATTTGTAACGTGCGTATATTTTATTGATATGACGTTCTTAACAACAATTCACTACATATAACTATTCAATCAATTGTTACAATTACATAGCATTTATGAGCGCAAAATTTCTTGACAATATAAATTGTAACGTGCACGATTTTTGATTTCAACACCATATATATCTCTATCTTTTAGGGGAACGGTTTTCATTCAATTCCGCATCAGTTTCAGATGCAATTTGCCTTCGTTTCCTTTTCTCGATCTTAAGTGATTTGTTCTACATTTGTTCATCAAGTTAGGTAGATATTTATTTATAGTAATGTAATTAGCAATGATACCACTTACTTCAAGCAATTTAAGGATACAGTACGCATCCTCAAGTATCCCAAATTCATCCTCATCAGACGGTAATCTGCATCGGTCCACTAACCCAAATCTGTACATACCGGCTCCTGACCAATCCATGGCATAAAAGCTCAATTCTAAACCTATATATAGAAATGGAGGTTATTGGCCATTAAATCCAACCTACATAAATAATGTTGACAAAACTTACCGAATTGGAGCCACCCATATACAATTAAATTTGTACGTTTTTCAAATGCTACGTGATTACATTCTCTTAAAAGCCTATTTATGCTGTCCCGCATTACTATCATAAGCTTTACCTTGTCAAGATAACGCTTTTTACGACAGGCGGTGGGTATTCCAAGAGGACCTAACCCTCCCGATACTTCTCCATAAATAATTTCGAATTTATTGGTTGTTTTGACAAGAGTACTTTTCATGTCAACGCGTCTACCTATTCTTGCTTTTTTTAAACGGACTCGCCTTTTCATTACGTGCATAATTTGTGGATAAGGCTTGGACTTCCCCCCTGGAGATGTAGAATAGTTTTGAATATTTGAAATCTACTCTCAAATACAAATGTAAATAAATGATCTACCAAATATTTTTAATTTTATCGGATGTCAATATCCCACTAAATAGAGGAAATGTCGAACTCATTTTTAATTCTTCCTCCGTCATCATTCCTCGAAAATTAGATGCACCGCTTTTCCTGTACAGAGATTTAGGGTCAGGGTATTATAGCCAGATAAAAATATAATCAAAAAACATATACATACATAAACTGGATATTTGCATCTAATTTTTCGATGTCATGATTATCATCTGCGTTTTTCGCACAATTATCATCAAAGTATTCTCGTACATTCTTTTCTGGTGGCATTGGTTTCCAGGAAATTTTTTCAGCAAATTCTTGTGAAAGTTGTAGTATAACCTCCTCCGTGAGATTTTTACAATCATATGGGCTGCCGTCAATAGAAATAAGGCGGATTGACATTTTAAAAAAAATTAATGCCTTAACTTTCACATCTCATATCTCGATGAATTTTAAGGCTATATTGATGATTTAATATTCAAAAGAAAGCTTAGATCGTATGCTTTCTTTTGAATAATGAATCATTAAGACAGACTCAAAATCCATCGATATATTGGCTGTGAAAGTTAAGGTATTGATTTTTTTTTAAAATGTCAATCTGCCTTATTTCTATTGACGGCAGCCCATATAAACTTTCACCGGTTAAGTCTAGAATTCCCCAATATGCGGGACTATTGGATAGAAATGATAAAACGTATCAGTAATCACGCCATTATTATTAAGAAAATAATAAACGACATAAAACATACGTGAAAACTCTACGGGTTTTTGGAATTGTTTTTTGATATTTGTAAAAAGATTCAACAATGCCTGCATCAATATTTTTTCGTTGATCCTATTGAGGGTAACATAATGAGCCTACTGAAAATATACATTTCCAACTGTTAAACATTTAATTTTATCTTTGAGACGCTATTACCACTAACTCGTGGCAATATATTCTCTTGCTCAAGTACTTTTTCATCAATACATTCCACGAGGGCATTTTCGTTTGATTCATCAAATAATAACGACAATCCTTCATAATCCGGCTCATCATCATCATCATCTCTTTTTCTTTTCAAATTATTTTCACAGGCCGACTTTCCATTCTCTTGAGGCTCTTTAACCTTTTCCGAACTAGTGCCTTTAGAATAGGCATTAGAAACATTGTCATTTCTTATCTATTTTACGGAAAAATTATTTAAATACCTGATCTTTTGTTTAGTTAAGTGCAATAAAAATTCGTTTATTTTGTAACTTACATTAAGAGGATTTGAATTTAATGCGTTATTTTCCGTAAGTATATGGTTTGTGGTACTCCGTTTTTCAATAATTTTTGTAACTGTTTTTCGTAGTAAGTGACCTTGATTTCGTGTATCTTTTGTCGCGTCTAGAACATGTAAAGACTAAAATGGACGTTTTAGTTGCAGGTCAAGGCAAGGTTTTAAGAATTAAAATTCTAACCTCTTCGAGAGAAATCAAATCCTCCAGTTGTTTCTTTTCCAGATCCGTCCAATATTGGTTCACTGCCACTGAATCAGCTTGTTCCTAATTTATAGAGAGTTTGATGAGTAAATCATTTTTGATGAGCAAATCATTTTGGAGAATATTTAGCACCAAAGGGACACACGCAACACGGAGGTCATAACTCCACAACACAGAGGTTAGGAGGTAGCGTGAAATCCAAACCAGCACTGAGGCCATCACCCATTGACTCAGAGGTCGAACAAAATAGCTCCCTCAACGACACAGAGGTCGCAAGAGGATGGGATAGGACGATGGTAAGCTAACAAATGGGATCTTTGCTAGTAAACCATTTTTAGAAAAAAAAAATCCTAGCAAAGATCCCAAATACTCTCCATTGACGTACGACACAAAGGTCAAGTGGAAAGATTTTAACAAAGAAAGTATGAAACATCACCTTAAAATGTTTTAGACAAGCTTTCGCGCGAGTTCTTCTTTCTGGCTTGATGGTATCGTCTTTAGAAATGAAACTAAGTGTTCCTTTATACAAACTGTAGGCTTTGTCTTTTTCTGTTGGACGCTTGTGCTCCAGGAAGCCAAGTAACGAGCAGTGAGTTAAATCTTCGAAGTACGCGTCAGTAGACATAGTTTCGTGTTTATTTGGGCGCTGTTTGATCAAATAAACAATGTAAATCAATTTTTTAAAATATTTTTATATAAGCCATGTAAACAATTGTGTAATGCACGTGATTTTTACTTTTTCACTACGTATGTAAAGAATTGTGTCACACCGGGTCCGTATACAATACTAGATGATATGGGCTAGGTGCAGCAAAAAGGGACCAAATTAACAATTTTTTCAACTGATATTTTTTTATATAATTCAATTTAGAATAAGATTAGAAACATTTTTCACTTAAGACACAAAGTAGTTGTATTAATAAATTTTGCAGTATTGCTCTTTAAAGTTTGCATTTTCTTATGATTTATTATAAGATTTGTAACATAAAAATTGATTTTCTGATAATCTTTTGTTTTGTCAATTTGGACCCTTTTTGCAGCACTTAGCCCATATGTAAAACTCAAAGCCAGTATAATTTAACTTTTAATTAGAATTATAAATCTGGCTATGCTTTATTTAACAAGATATGCGTTGCACAGGTGCAGTTGCTGTGAGCTACGTAGTATTTTTTTTCTAGTACCCACGGGGAAATATTTATTGTACGTACGTAGCAAAAAATTCATCTGATTGGTTATCAATTCTTGTAATAATGTTCTATATATACGAATCTAATTATATCGAGTGGATTTTTACAACCAATCAGATAGTAATATTTTCATCGCACTGTGATAAATCAGGTGCAGTCTAAATTTTATATATATACCGTTATCAACCTCAGAAACTCTTCGTATACTATTTATCCAGACTGCTAAAAATTTTATATTTAAGCCTTCTTTGCATGTATTTAAATTTACTTAATGGAATGCACTTAATAGCCTCATCATATCGATATCTTGTAACCTTAAGTTGAAATTTTTTAATATAATCATCGATATCATATCGTTATTTTCACTCGTCCACTCTTCTGCTGTTCTTGGGATCGCATGTTTGGCACCAAGCTGGAGAAGTGTTATACCTATAACATTGCGCGCATTGCCCTTTATCAATAGATCTTTTACGATAAAACTCATCAAATACGATCATATATTCATAGGCGGATGAGTTTTGAGTAAATCCGTATAATTTACAATTATCATTCGACTGTAGATATTTTTTAACTTTAGGTATGTAATTTATATAAATGTACAGTATTAAATATATTGTTAAATTTAATAAATTAAATACTAACTTATGTACTCACTTTTTTTAAAAAAATCAACAGGATTAATTTGGAAATTTGAAAACGTCATAATCATAACTGTACATTGGGTACAAGCGATTGTATGCATTGTTCATCATGCTTAGAAGTTAACCGCATGTCATCTATCCAGACTGCTAAAAATTCTGTTTTTAGGTCTTTTTGTTAATTTTCTGCACATTTTCTAATTTATTAAATGAAATCTACTCAATAACCTTATCATGTTGGGCAGTCTTAATTTGAGAACTCCTAATATAATCATCAATATCGTCTAGGGGGATTACATTTGTGGCACCGAGCCGGGGATGTGTTGTATTTCTTACATTGCGTGCATTGCCCATTATCAGTGGAACTATGACTAAAGGTGTTCTCAAGCACCTCAATCAAGTGATCAGAAGCAAAATTTTAATTAGTTGGAAATTAAATAAATGAATCAAATGAGTTACCATTCCGATGACAAAATCATGGAGACACAACCCATCTTTTTCTTCAAAAATTTACCATTGATATAGGTTGCTCAAATATTACTTTACAGTTTTTGCATATCGAACATAATAAACAATGAATTCTCAACAAATTTAACAAATTTCTCAAAAGATAGCCATTTTTTTTAATGTTCGAATCTTCTAAAATAAATAATCGATACTTTAATATGAGTGTAATAAATACAACAATCGATAACATTAATATGAGTGTAATAAAAACAACAATCTTTTAACGTTTAACCAAACTATAATTAATACTATTATTCTATTTTTCACTCATTTAAATTTAATATCTTCTCAGTAAAGAAGACCTAAAACTGAAAAGTTTGGGTAGATGTTTTTCCATAATGAAGAATTTAAATTGTTAAAATCCCGACGTAACTAAAGTTGAAACTTTAACGGTTGATCGAAAAGAAATTTTTTTCATTAGGTTTTTTAGGTAGTATAGCGAACATTACAAAAAAAACAGAAAAAGTATGCTCAAGCATTTAATTCTATAAATGTCGTCATCAATTGTGATGCTGAGCGTCATAACGGTTATTATCTGATCAATTGATTTAGATGCTTGAGAACAGCTTTAGGCAGTATAGTGAACACTACGAAAAACAAAAAAAATATGCTCAAGCATTTAATTCTATAAATATCGTCATTAATTGTGATGCTTGAATGTCAGCACAGTTATTATCTGATTAATTGATTTAGATGCTTGAAAACAGCTTTAATCAGTCGATAGTAGTAAAACCAATAGCCAGGTACTGTATAAATAAGAAGAATAATCTAATTTCCGAATTTATGAAATCATAAACTTTTTTTCAATAATAAAATTTGGAACCATAAAAATACAATTATGAAAGTTTAAAGATGCTAAAGTTTTGTTACTTTTCATGTAACTCAAAATATAAATTTGAACTGCTCATATTTTTAAAATCGGTTATACTAGTAAGACCAAAGAATTTTATTTAGTTAAGCAAATCTGAAATAATTTAGGAACGCGATTGTTTAATTAAAAATTTTTATAAACTAATTTGAAACACATTAAGCACCTGTTACTGTATATCGTGCAGTAGATAGTTGAAGTAAAGATACAATACAGGATAGTATATTATATTACCAGAGAGCTTTAAGAAGTTTCACCAATACGCCCTAATGATTCCTAAGTTTTTTGTAAACAAATGTTGATAGATTTTTCGATTCTCACAATAAGTACATTATAATTAATATTAATGTAAAGAAAGCGGTTTAATTTTATTAATGATATGGCAACTTTTATGAGGGAAACAATCATTCTTTTCTGCTAAAAATTTTTTTATTATCGCAAAACGATGTAGTTATATAAAACTGAACCAATTCAAATAATCATAGACTTATTAAGCAAATTATTCTAAACTCAAATTTTAAATTTCCAACTAATATTAGAAATTACAACATAATAACAATTTTGTCAACAAGTGTAAATGTCGATAAATCATCCGCCGATTTAGTAAATTATTTTAATCACAAGCGAACAACTTTAAATATTAACAAAGAATAATAAGTTTAAAACAAGAACAAATGATATCTACCGTGAAGCCTTTATCAATCAATCAATCACTGCTGTTGTTTATTGTTATTAAAATTTAATAACACCATATTTTCCTAGAAATGATATTGATTTATAAGAAAATTTTTTTAAATTGCTTAAATTTTCGTAATCAAATTATTCTCATAAAAACCTATGGAGGTTAATGTAATATTTTTATGGAGAGACTCTGCCAAGATTTTTCTCCCTTCTAATCCAATATTATTATTGCTAATATTCAAAGAAGTCAGAGTAGTGTTGATACAAAGAGCTTCTGCTAGTG